GATGCTTGGTTACAATACTGCAAAAATCTAACCAAAAATATTCTAGTAAAGAGCCTATATTGTTCTTCAAACATAAACTGCTGCTTATCATCATTGGTATTTTAATATGGTAGCCAAATGTATGTTTGCATATTTTTTCTGATTAACATTGAGTCACTAATGCACCATAGCTGAGCATGCCTAGTCACAGTATGCTTTGGTTGCTGTGTGTGGCTATACATAACATAAGATGTAAGCTTTCTGTATGTACTTAAAAAAAAAAAAAAAGGAACTAGCAAGAAAAGAGTCAAGTTTCTTAAGTAACATAGGCTACTATGATGAATAGTAGTGGTGAATAATGACCATGAATGAGAATACATTGGGAGACCTCCTATGAAGCAAATTAGCCACACGATTAGTTGCAAATCAGGCTGCCTCTTGTCAGCAAAATCTCTGCGACTGGTTTACAGACCTGTGATGCTGTGTTTCTGGGCAGCTAACACTCCGTTCACATGGGGTGATCTGACATATCTGTGGCAAGAACCTATTGAGTCATGCGGAAGGAATGCCAGGTGTCACCCTTTATATGCAACCGCTCTACACGTAGAAGTAAATTACTGGGTGACAGCAACCACATCTCTCAGCGGCAGTCCGCATGTAATCATACAAAGTTCAATTACATGTGGTGTGGGATAGAGAATTGTTGCTGGATGCATCTATCCTGTGAAATCATCTATTTCAAACTCAATGTAATCATACCAGGTAGATCCTTGCCACAGGAGTCTCAGAAAAGGGCCTTAGTGTGATAGTTTGCAGAGTTTTAAGACTGATTTGTTACTGAAATTAAGACAGATGTTCACTCCTAAACATACAACTGTGATCAGGGTTAGGTTTTATTCTGCTACAGTGCTGCTGAGGAAGGAATTTGACTCAAGCTGTAACCTTGTAGTAAATCTTTCGCACATTCTGTCTCTCTGCTCCTGTTTAGCATTGCCTTTATAATCGGCCCCTATTATGCGGTTGTACCCATATACTGTACATCTCTCATGGGTGTCATCTCTACTGCTAGTAGATCATTTTGTAACTCTAAAAAATTAACCAATTAAATGTCTAAAACCAGTCAGTGAGTTTTTTTTTTTCACCAATGGGCACTGTAAAGTAACATATTGGTGACATTTTTCTAGCACGTCATCTGTTAGGCAGAAGATCTGTGGGCTGGCATGTGTATTTTGGGCACAGATTGATATGTGTAATGGTATTCTAGAACTGCATGGAGTATCACAATGTTCCATCCAGTATCTAAATCCTTGATTCTCAACTGGTGGGTCGTGACACAAAAGTGGGTCGCGACCCCGTGTTCAGTGGGTCGCAGCATGCCTTCCACTTTTCTAGGTGAGTGGCTCCTCAACCTCCCCCTAGTGCAGCACTGTTAGTTCTTGCCCCAAGCAGCCATTTAAAATATGCTGCCCAGTGCCGAGTGCTGCTTGTATAATATTGCAGTAATGTTTTGGCCCAATTAAAAATAAACTTGCTTGGTTTTTTCTCTCTGGCAGGAATGATAGTGATATACAGTATCTAGGTGTATGTGCATAGGTACACTCTATGCATTTGGATGCAGAATGCCTTACTTGCTGTGCTTTAATTGTACCCGTCTATTTTGTGAAATTTATAGGGCTGCAACAACTAATCGACATAATCGATTATAATCGATTATTGAAAAAGTTGTCAACTTTTTCAATAATCGATTATAATCGATTATTGAAAAAGTTGTCAACTTTTTCAATAATCGATTATAATCGATTATTGAAAAAGTTGTCAACTTTTTCAATAATCGATTATAATCGATTATTGAAAAAGTTGTCAACTTTTTCAATAATCGATTATAATCGATTATTGAAAAAGTTGTCAACTTTTTCAATAATCGATTATAATCGATTATTGAAAAAGTTGTCAACTTTTTCAATAATCGATTAATCGGGTTCCGATTGGTTGGTCCTGTTCACGGCCCCACACACGCTGCGCGCCACACCACCTCCCCACCTCACACTCGCCGCTGCCAGACCCGCCCGGCTGCATCCACGCTCCACACGCAGCACCTCCTTCCCGCCTCGCACTCACCGCCCGCCCACATCCACGATCGGCACAGGGACGCTAGCAGAACTGGGGCCTAGATACTAATGATGCTGCAGTTCCTATTCCATTTTCACTGTAACTGCTGCTTCTGCACCTGTCGGACCTCCAATACAGGCAGTGACAGTTCAAAGCCGAGGGAGGCTCACCTTAGCTCCTCCTTGCCTCTGGTCACATGGCCAAGCCCAGAGGAGGACTTCTAAACTGCTGCTGTAACTAAGGTCTTCATGGAGAGGGGAAATCTGTGCTGCTGGGATTTTGGCTTAGGGAGGAAGGTCATTTTTTTGTTGTGCTCAGCCTACCAATCTGTGCCGTTCACTCTCCTGCTGCACTCTGTGCCTTATGCTCTCCTGACCCCATGCACTCTGTGTTCTACTCTCTTGACCCCTGCTTTTCATGCATTACATATTCCTGACTTTCAACTCTGAGTTATGCTCTCCTGTCTATTTACAGTTTTTATATATAAAAGATGAAAAAATGCTTTTGTCAGTTTTGTAGCAATATGTGGAGGTAGCCTTGGTTGTCACCCAGGCTGGACATGTCTGCCTTTTATTTATCTCCGTTACAGGGTAGATTGAGGGGATTAGTAGCATAAACAATACATTTTTGCTGTCTTTTTAAGCTCATGGTGATGTGATAAGGAGAGAGCATTTCTATCAGGATTAACAGATATTTCTGTCCTTTCTGAAAACATTCCTAGCCGGAAAAAAAGAAAAAAACGTTTTTTTTGGTTTAGATACCATTTTGTTAGTAAGATGTTTTGTTTTATGATTTGCTATTATAACCACTCAAAATGCTTGCTTCAGATTTTTTAAAATTATTTGTGAAATTTCCACCCAACTCTGTGCCCTATGTATCAGTGATGGCACCTGAAAAGTGTTCCTATTTCCCCTCCGCCACCAATCTGAAGTCCTGGAAAATCCTATGAATCTGAAGATGGTATTCGGATAGGTGGCTGTGGGGTATGATCTCCGTTCTTAGTACTGACATTTTGACACAGGAACCCCACTGACCATTTATTGCTAGATGGAATTGTGTATGCCAGGGAAGCCAGCAGTGTAGAACAGCCTTTTGCAACCTTTTTAACATGGAGGAACCTATAAAATAACCTTCGTGTCTCAGGGAACTGCTGGTAATGATTTACTATATCTATAGCTCAGGGTAAATTGGTGTGAACATATAGAGATATAAGAATAATCATTGGGAGAGGGAAAAGAATACTCCTTACACTTGTGGTCAGTGGAAAAAAGTTCCTTATAATTGTGGTCAGTGCATCATAACCAAAAAGCAAAAATGTTACACAGGTATCCCTCAATTTACGCCAGGGTTATGTGTCCCCAGCATGTCTCTATGTGCCAGTGTGTATCTCCATGTGTATCCCTGTGCCACCAACACATCTCCAAGTGTACCTCTGTAGGTGTCCACATTTTTTTTTGATTGCGCGGAGCCCCTTCCTGAGCCACAATCCTCCAAATGGCATTCACATGCGTCTCCTTCCACAGCTGAAGTCTGTGGAGGAAGAATAGGCTAGACGGCGCTGACTCTCCTGTGGTTTCAATGGCGGTCACGTGACCACCTGAAAAGCTGTATATTGCAGCTTACCAGTCCTTCAATGTGGTGGTTAGTTTTCTATTTTTTTTTAGGCTTTTTCACTTTATTTTCACCTTGAGATCCGGCCAGTAACACACTTCCTGTCTTAGGGTGGCTCTACTCTAAAGAGGAGCAATGGAACCACGCTTAACCCCTTCGTGACTGACGACGTACAGTGTACGTCGCCAGCATCGGGGCTGACTCCAGCTTGCTCTGTTTAAGCAGTTACAGCCACAGTGTTTTCTTTTTTGGGATAAAGTTCTTACATAAATAAAAGCTGACCATTGTAAACACCACTGTCAGTGTTAAATGGTTTGTCTCAACTCTCTATCTGCCACTTTTGTTGCACAGCTTGGTCTATTGCAGAAAGTTGAAAAATAAAAGACTTTATGGAATAATACATCAGTCTGTTATTGTAGCGATGCCCAGTACAGCAGAGTAGTTAGCACTTCGGTTTTGCAGCACTGGGGTCTTCGGCTCATATCCCAGTCAGGACACTATCTGCAAGGAGTTTGCATGTTCTTCCTGTACTTGTGTGGGCTTCATCCGGGTACTCCGGTTCCCTCTCACATTCCAAAGACATGCAGGAAGGTTATTTGGCTCCTGGCTAAAATTGGCCCTGTATGTATTCATGTGGACCTTCGATTGTAAGCTCCTTGAGGGCAGGAAGTAATGTGAATGTGCAGTAAGTAAAGCACTGCAAAAATTGTCGGCGCTTTATAAATACCGGTAATAAAAAAAAAATAAGAGGAATAGACAACACCATAAGCTGGCTGTATTGCATTGTGCATTGCTGTTGATTTAACAAAGAGAGCTTGCTAATAGGAGAGGGTGCAAGAATGACCTCATCAGTGAAGCCCTTTACCACACTGTATTGCTTCAGCTGCAGTGATAATAACAGAAGTCAGGGATGTGTCTGGCAGGGGTATGTGAATCTCAAGAGAAGCTGAATAAAATCACAAAACCTGTGTCAGGTAAAACAGTTCACGTATACAGTATGTATTTTGATTGTATAATTTTCTGTTAGGCTTTAGGCTGATTAAAATCTCACGGTAGTGGACGTGATGGTAGAACAGTATAGGGTCATCAATGTATCTTTGCTATAGCACCAGAAGACTTTTGAGTCCTGGGTTGAATTGGCTTATAAACCTTTTTAGTTTTGCTTTTGGTTTTCAGCTTTTGCAGTAGCATGAAATGCACACTGAAGAAGATATTTGAAGCCTCAAAATCTGAACAAAAAGTGTATTGTGTCTTGCTTCCATTGTTGCATTTACTCAAAGGCTGCTTCTTCTACCTTGCAGAGAGTGGAAAACGAAGACCAGAAAGTGAGACAAGTGAACCAGTGCTGCAGTTGCATTACAGTACAGAAGGAACTACTACAAGTACGATAAGACTGGATTTCACAGATGAATGGTAGGTGGTTTCAACTGTATGCATTGCTTATGCTTATGCATGATGTAAATTTAACATTGCACAGATATTTCAGAGCAGCAGTCTATTGCTATACCCTTGCCCCCTGGGTTTCTAGGTTCAGCACCCACCAGAATTAATAAGTTCATGGAGTCTGCTTGTTCTACAAGTCTTTGAATGTGTTTTATCCTTGTGTTCCTCCTCCAATCCAAAAATATACTCTATGAAATTCATAAAGGGTGGCGCAGGCACTCTTTCGAAGTGTATTCGCCTCTGTATTACAAAATGTTGTGCATGCAACAGTTTATTTACCTTTCAGAAACATGTACATGAATTTTGAAAAAACAACACTGCTGCAGACTCCAATACTCCCCTTAGCTGTGGGTGCACTGGGTGCAGACCTTGAGAGCCCACCCTCGTTCCATGTCTCCTCAATACGGAAACCAAAGGGTAAACGTATGGGACAAAGAAAGAATTACCCATGTATAAAGCAAAATATATCACTAGATATCTAAAAAGAATACATCAAGCTGAAACTCGGAACCGGACCCTAAAAGCTTGGTGGGGTGGGGGAGTAAATAGAGGAACGGGGTTGGGGGGAGGTAAGAAGAGGGCTAGGTTAGAGGGGAAGGGAGAAAAAGAGAGAATAGAGGAGAGGGAAGGACAAGAGAGGGGAAGGGGAGAGGGGGAAAAGGAAGAAAAAAGGGAAAGAGGATGGGAATAGGAAAGAAGGGGAGAACAAGAATGTTTTGCTGAATAAATGTGAAAGTAAATGAGGTCATTCGAGGGCAGCCCTTTGTTGTCTGTATTGATGTACATTAACTTGAGGCATGTGTAGCCTATGTGGGGAGGCACTGATACCAGATGTGTCCATTCTGCACACTCTGTCCTCGGTGCATGTGCAGCCCCTGGGCTACACATTGTCAATGGTTGTTATGGTGCAGATGCCACCTGTGTCCTAGTAACCAACGATGCTGGGTGACTGACTGCATCTTAGCAATCAAAGACGCTGTGCGGCCAGCAGGGTCCTAGCAACCTGAGAGGAAGGGTTGGGGGATGTGGCAGATCTGTTACTCAAGTATGACATTGGTCTTATTTACGTCCAGTTTTCTTAAGTCCAATATGGCGGAATTTGTTATTGAGTTTATCACAGCTATAGCAACATATTTGTCAAGTGTCGCAAAAGGGAACTTTATGAATGTTGCAGCCATTTTATAATCTTGACACAACCGTTCCATATACAGTGATAACACCAGAATTGTGTCACAAAGCCTTTATTTAATTGCCTCCGCTGTTAGGTCAGTTTGCTCCAACTGTGGTATTGACCCTCCTCCTGGTGCAACTTCACATGCCATTAGGCATTGCAAGACTCTGACAGCCACAGGCATGACTCCCAGAGGCATGACGGGATTTGAAGTCTCAACACAGCTGGAGGGCCAGAGTTTCCCTATTCCTGTTGTAGAGTATAACTTATGTATAAAATACAGATGTGAACAGTTCTGTGTAATCTGTAAAGGGCTGTGGGATATAATATCTCTATATAAATTAGGATTGATGGCAACACATGAAGCATGATAGCACTATAGTAGGCAGTACCCGGTATCTGCACCCAGATTTAGTTCCTGCAGAGTAACTTTTTAAATTTTTATCTATAAAGCAGTGACATATTCTACGATACACAGTACACAGTGTCAGGATCCACGTAGAGGAAAAATCCTCAAGTATGCAAGATAGTGAACGTTAAGCTGCATGTCTGTCTAATGTAACATAAATGTTCAGATTTCTAGTTATGGGAAATCTGGAAACAGGAAATTGGTTGCAAAACTGGAAGTTAATGTTTACAGAATTGTTAGGGAAAATAAGGGGAAAGTCTTCAACTGAAGCGTGGTGGTGTTCTGTCTCCATGTAAGTGTAAACCAGCCAGGTTGTTTAGGGGTCTAGCCTTCTGTTTGGGGAAGATGTGGTTATGGCAGATTTCCAAGGTTTGTAGTTTATGTAAGTTTTCCTTGATGTTTTGAGGGATATAGCTATTGCTTAAACTGGATGTAAAGCCAAAACGTTTTGGATGAAATGTGGAATGTTTACAACATCCGTTTTTTTTTAACCAATGTCTCCTATACAGAAAGTGATGGGAATCCAACATGTTTGATTTGCCACAGAAGCTGGAGATGAGGGAGAAATAATTTATTAGTTAAAACTATTCTAGTGACAGCTGTCTAAGAGTGCTTGTCCTTTCACCTGGGAGAGATCTCCTTTTATCTCTGGCTGTGTCTCTGGGACAGGAAGTAATAGGGAATCTGCGCAACAAAACACAGACAGGATAAAAATGCCTGACAGGAGTATCCACCATTCCCTACACTTTAAAATGGGACTTAGGTAAATTGCTAACATTATCACATACTTCTGTCAGTAATCTTGTTAGAATACTGCTTGCATTTTCTAGAACAAGGAGTGTAAGCACTTTTTAAGCTTCAAGTTGCTGCAATCAGGGTTTCCTCAGGGCTAAGGACTCTTTTTCCTGTCATTTTGTGAGGCACATAATTCTCTATACCCAGAAGTACTGGGGTGTGTCACTTTGCAGAGTGACAGGGGAGCAAAGAGGATTGAATATAAGCTGCTGGAGGAGCTTTCACATCAGTGAAATAGCTAATTAATAGCCGCACACCAAAATGTTTACAGCACTTGTCCTGGCCAATTGTTATTGCCTCTGGGAAATTGGCAGGGTCTTATCAAGCAAATGTTTACATTTTTGTTGTATATTTCACCTTGTAAAGTAGCAGAGGATTTTTTCATATGCTTATAGCTGCATTACTTTTAGGAGCAACACTGCCTCGAGTTCAGTAGCTGTAAAAGTGGGACCGTCAGATGGCGCTGCTACACCTGAACCCAGTTTGCCAAGTGAAATGGAAGGTACTGGATTTTATTGTTATTGATTTCTATTAATCTGAATGTTCCCCAGATAAATCAATCGGACATTGTTTTATTTGCTACGTATGTAGTACAGTGCAAGGTATCTTGTAGTCTTCAATGGTTCGCAGCATAAAATATTAGGCTGCAGCTAAATAAAATACACCGGTGGACAAGTATTTACACTTCTACAAAAATAGAACAGTTTTCCCTGAAATAATTTGAAACTGAGAAAAGTAATTGGCATCCGTCATTGTCATTGTTTCATATTTAATCAAGATTTGTGATTTAACAGAATATTTGAGATAATAAAACAAATAAAAATGGCATGGAGAGAAATGATGGAATCGTAACCTAATATTTGTTAAACAACCTTTTAGAGACAATCACTGCAAACAAGTGACCAACTGGTAGTTTGGCCTACTCTTCTTGAGCAAATTGCTCCAGCTGTCTCAAGTTTGGAGGATGCCTTCTCCAAACTGCATGTTTCAGCTCTTTCCATAGATATTTAATGGATTCAGGTCAGGGCTCAAAAAAGGTCACTTCAGAATAATTCAGTATCTTGTTCTTAGTTATTCTTGGGTACTTTTAGCTGCATGGTTGGGTCATTATCCTGCTGGAGGACCCATGACCTGTGACTGAAACAGTGCTTTCTGACACTGGGCAGTATATTTTACTCTAGAATTCCTGTCCTGGGATTTCATTGTGCCTTCACAGATTCAAACCACCCCATGCCGGAAGAGCAAAGCAACCCCAAAACAGCCATCCATGTTTTACAGTAGGAACGGTGTTCTTTTCTTTGAAAGTTTATTTTTTTAGATGTGACACAACAAAAACTCATGTCTCATCTATCCAGAGTAGGGATGCACCTATATCGGTACTTCCACTAGCATGGAGCCAGCTCGATGTTCATTGGCCAGGTAGCTTGCTTCTCAGCCAGTCAGCATGGAGCCGGCTTCTCGGCCAGTCAGGAACCCGGAAGGTAGTTCATTACCCACCTGGCTTCCTGATTGGCCGGGAAGCAGGCTCCATGTTCCCTTGCGGCACTGCCGGTCAGAGGAAATCTACCTTTGACCAGAAGTTCTGGTAAGAGTACCGACTCTCTATGCTATTTGGCCAGATCAATGACGATTGGCCGGGATGCCGGCTCCCCAGCTAATCAGCATGGAGCCGGCATCCCGGCCAATTAGGAAGCCGGGAGGTGGCTCATTACCTGCCGCCCGGCTTCCTGATTGGCCAGGAGGCCGACGCCACGCTGTTTGGCCTGCTCCATGCTGATTGACTGGGAAGTCGGTTACCTTTCGCACTGTTCTTCTGAGGAATCTGGGGTAAATTTTTCCTCTTCAGCCACGTCCAGGGAGGTTGGCTATACTCCCTGGATTGATTGTATTTGCAACTGTAATCACAGAAACATCAAGCTGCTTGGAGATGGTCTTCTAGCCTTTACATTCTGGTCTATAATTTTGTTTCTGATCTCGACCAACTCTCCTTTGCTTTCTCTGGCCAATGTTCAGTGTAGTGCACGCAATAATACCAAACAGCAGAGTGACTACTTTTCTCCATTTAAATAGGGATGACTGACGGATTATAAGATTGAAGATGTGTGAGGCTAATTACAGAAAACAGTTTGAAATATCATTATGATCGAGTTATTTATAATCTTTTCTAAATTTCTTTGTAAAATAAGCAATAATGTATTTATTGCAGCACTTTCTTGCTTTATTCTTTGACATACCACAGACTTGCAGGTATACATGAGACAATTGCGTTTAATATCACTTTTCAGGAGGAATGAAGCATTGTTGCAGTAAACTATAAGGGTGCCAAAAACATGTCCATGGCTGCACACGGATGAACGGTTACTTCCATATTTGCAGATTATACCAAAGGCTTAGCTCACCCTAAAGTGATATTCATGTTACAGGTGGAGTTTGGAAACTCAGTCTACAGATCCACCAGACCCCACCTGTTACTTTTAGGTGAATTGACCTTTTAATGGGTCTTTTGCATTGAATTACATTCTCTGTATATGGATAATTTAAATATCTCTATCTACATTTTTTACTGGGGTAAAAGCTCCTTGTGTGACGACATGCATCTTCTGTTAATATTTTTAGTCACTTCTGTGTCTGCTGAGCAAAATGTAGAGACGCTTCCTGACAACATGCAAACAGATCCAGGTAGCACAAAAATTAGTTCTGAACAACCAAATGCAAGCTCAAGCATGGATGAGCAACCTGAAACGTCTAAAACTGCAGCCCAGTCTGACATGTCCGAAAGCTCCAGCCATCGGGAAACTGACAGCGATGATAACACAGTTCGATTGCCTCCTAGAGCTCAGACTCAAAACAGGTGAGTTAAGAGCTAGAGCTCAAGTATTGTGTGTTGCGTCAAGCCATAAACCCCTGGTCTGTGACCCATGCCAGTCATTTTCAACTTAGCTTATTTTGTTGTCTTTATTTTTAAAACAATTTGCCTGGCCATAGATGGCACACTTCTGTTATTACAATGTAAAAATAATGAAGCATGGGAGCTTAAAGCAATACCATGTGTTGTCGTAATAAAAGTATTATGTTTCTCAAACTTCCTTTGAATAGTAGGCGCCTCCATGTGCCTGCACGTCCTTTTGAATTGCTTACAGAGCAAGCACTCCAGCTTTGTGGAAAGCTGGAGTGTTGTAATATGGAAGTAGCAATTGTATTCTGTGCTTGGCAGCTCTGGCCCACCTTCTGCACACCATGGGTGGCTCCACCAATAATGTGGTATGGGAGAAGTAAACCAATGCTCTGGACCATTATCTATATTAATGACAATATGCCTGTTCATTCATTGGATATCAGAGCTTCCTGTTTTTTTAAGCTTTCACAGTGCTCTGCTAGAAACTAAACAGGACATTGCAGGCACATGTAAATGTAACTGACAGAATGAGTCATCCCAGACTTCTGGCTTCTTGTTTTTATTGGGGACTTCAATGTTGATATATATGCTCTGTACGTCACATAGATGGATGGGGTCCTGTAGTCCTCATAACAGTGTGAATGATAAGAATGCAGCCCAGGCAGAGAACACAAGAAGTTATCGGCTGACAAAGTTTTTATTAGGATCAACAGGTATTTTTGTTTTTTAATCAAACATATATAACTAAACGTTTCAATGGTAAGTTTAACAGTTCAAAGAGGAGAAATCAGAGGAATGTATTGTTAGGGTTACATACACTTTAAGACCAATTCCAGTCAATTTGCTGATAATATATGACTAGTTATGTTCATATCTGTTTAGATATTAAACTGACAGGATGGAAAATTCAGCTACATAATGACTGTATGTGTGTGGGCTCCTCTTTGCACACAATCTACAGCCCTAGATGTCTCTATTTCACAAATTCATCCAGGCATTGTGTGCCAGCCACAACATTGTTTTACAGGATATACCAAAAGTAGTTCTTTACATGCGAATAGCATTGCTTTTAAATCAACAGTAATAGTTTTTATTGAAACGCATAATATCATTTTATTTGATTATTGACATATTAAAGCGGTTGCAATAAAGATGAGGAAGTCTTCCTGAAACTAGCATAAAAATTGTTTTATTCAAATTTTTAGGTTATTATTCATTAAATTTAATTGAAGTGTGGTATTTTTTCACCTTGACAGATTTAATATTGGAAGTCCATCACTAAGTGATAGGTTAACAAGGTAACTGTAAATTGCACTGCTCTGAAATGTACTAACGTGATTGTATATTAATATTTATTTGATAAAACAGTGCAGCAGCGTTTTGTGGGAAATTAGGGTTGGCAGGGTCTCTTTAACAAAATTGTTTTTTTCATGTCCCTTACTCAAGACAGTTTGTACAGAATTGTGGTTAGTACTGTACTGGCATGAAATCAAATTAACTCTTACAGTATGTAAAGCACCTGTAATTATGAGACCCTGCTCTACAAGCAGTGTTATGTAAAGTAGTGGTGGTTCTTAGAGGAGTACAATACCCTTAAAATGTATTTCCACTTTTGCAGTCAAATTTGAGAGAACCCCTCTATATGTTATGTGTTCCCAGTCACGCAGGATTAATGAAAAAAATAAATATATATATATATCCCAATTTGGCTGTGAAAGTGGAAATACATTTTAAGTATAGCTCGTGTGTTTGATCTACATTATGAAAACAGTTTATTCTGGTTATATAGGCCAGACGAAGGCGCGACTTCTATAGTTGTTTCTCCCTTTTGTTCTTTGCGCATTCGTTTTTTAGTAAACAAAAAAAACATAAAGTGGTTTCTTACTTTTCCCAGCCATCTCACCCACCTATATAGTCAAAAGCACGAGGACACCCCTTCAAATGATTGAGCTCAGGTGTTCCCAGTGAGGGTATTGTTGTTAATGCTACAGCATACAGTACAAAGATATTTTAGATAATTGTATAATTGTGTGCTTCCAACCTCATTACCACAGTGTCTAAAATTGTTTCAGGCACCCTCCTTGAGAAAAGGAATAGAGGCTGTTGTAGCCACAAATAGTGTTGGTGGAGGGGTAGGGGTGTTGTGTTTGCGTGTGAATTGCAACTCCGTATTAATGCCCATTGTTTTGAAATGGGATATCCAACCAGCTTATATAGGTGTAATGGTTAGGTATCCACAAACTTTGCCCATATAGGGTATATGGGATTTGACTTTGAAGATGTTTGGGCATATGAGGCACTGGAGCTTAGTGACATTTGGACATCATGCATACATCCTGAGAAGGTTAACACTAGAGCTACATCCAGCATGTTATAGCAGATGGCCATTTAACATATCCAAACACTAGAGGCTTCTTAGCGACCTTTTCACAATGGCATCTCTCATTATTTGCCTTGCCTATATCCATTAGAAGTCCAAAGTTGATCTGCTCTTACTGAAGTTCTGTGACCCAGTTAGTGCCACTGAATAAAAAGTGAATAATTATATCTCATCTAAATGATGGCTCAGAAGAAAGCTCAACTTCTTCTTCTCTTTTGCTTCCCTGAATAATAGGTCAGATATTGGATATATCTGACCTATTATTATAGTATAATACTTTTTGGCTGGGCAGTTTTGTGGATAGGCTTACCATCCTACATACTAACAGAGTGCTGTGCATGTTTGTGTCTGTCTCAAGTCTGTGCATCTTTTATTTGGGAAAGAAGATGTGTGCCTTTTTAGTTCATACTAAAATTATACTGGTAAAATGCTCCATGTGGTAATACCGTGCAGCTACAAATCTAATTCTCCTTTTTTGCATACAAATTAGAGCATGCAGAGTTTGTTCTGGTTTTTTTTCTCTATTCATTGTGGTTTTCATGAGCTTGGAATGAATTCTCAATTGAAAAAGCATTTGAAGGAAAGAAAATTACCATTATTCTTCAGGTCAAATGCTTCTTTTTCAGCTAATTATAGATCAAAACCACATTCTAAGAAGCCAGGAATTTGAAAGTATAAAAAAAAAAGTCAAGGGAAAAATGTATTAATGGTTGGTGTGGAAGGCTACATGGTACTGAGAAATGAGGGGCCTGGGGTCTTGGATGAAAGCATTAACCTTATGTGAAATATAAAGGCTAGTCCAAGGGAGCCACCTGAAAATTCTGCACTATTAAAGGGACTTTTTAATTTTTTAGAGTGGAAAAG